ATTAAATGCATTCATTGTATTTAGATGCAAAGTCACCTCATTATAACAGAGAGGAAAATGAAAGATGAAAATGCTTCAACTGCAGCTTGTAGTAGTAGAGGGTAAGACTAACATTATGATTGTCATGAAATTTTCGTTCGGGCCTACTAATCAAGCTTGAAATTGGCTGCTTCAGTAGACGAACAGCACCAGAGAGTGATTTTTATCTTTCAGTAATACCTTTCAATGATTACTGCAAAAGGAGGGAGGGTAGAGCTAAGCAGTACCCTTCTGAAAGGAATTTAGAAAATCCCTTTGGTGATTTATTTGAGCTGTTTGGAACACTTGGTGCACTGTTCCAGAAATACTAATGCATAAACCCCTCCACAGTCATATAACAACAACAGAAAAATAACTTCAGAGTTACACGCACAAGCTGCAAGCAATGAGTTGGGCATAGTAACTAGCAGAAATCAGAGAGGTGAAAGAGGAATTCACTGGGCGAGAAGTGATCAAAAGTAATTGGGTATTGGGAAAGAGGAATTCAGTGAATGAGAAGTTATCAAAAGCAATTGCGTATTTCTGGCATTTTAAAATGTGGAAGGGGAACAGACAGGACTGAAATGGTTTTGAAATGTTACTTGCAAATTTTGATTTATGTTAATAAAGCATTGCCAATACATTCTGAGATCTCTGACAGACAAATTGGGCAAACTGTTACGTAGAAAGAAGACAACTTTACCAAAAATATACATGCAAGCTGGCTAATACGTGAACAGGTTTTTTCCCTCCAAAGTGACTCTGATTCACTTTAGTCTGCTTTCACACATTTAACAAAACCTGACTTACTGTGTAACAGCGGCTCACCCTTCTCACACTCATCGGTGTGTGTGTAGCTGCTGTGGCTATTCTGAAAGTGATGTGCACACTGGCTGGCTAGCTGCTGCTACCAAGAAAAATCTGCAATAGCCAAGTGCTACCTGCCTTCCCTCTCTGACTCAGAAAATATCTCTAAAAACTGTTCAGTGCCTGATTTTCATGAAACTTATAGTTATTTTTATAATATTTGCTTTTTAACCTGTTGATTTTATGAAAAGCAATACATTCTAAAAGTTATATTTTGTTTTACTAGAATAGATTATTTTGCAAAGTACAATAAAAATTTGATATCCTCTGCATGCTGAATAGAATTTCCTTTTAAAATCTATTTGCACAAGGTAGTTTTTCAAATGGCTTTGTAAGAACACGTCTTGATTGTTTAATCAGATTAAGCTAGTTAGGTTGTGGATGGCAACACACTTTTAACATCAAATTTCTAGCCCTAGTTAGAATAGTTACAAACAAAACATTATGTTTAAGCTCCCTTTCTCAGGAGTTCAGCCCATACACAAATTCCTCTTCACCCCGTTGTCCTGAAAGGCACAGTATTCTGCTTTTATGCCTTTCTTTGTTGATGGTAACCTATGACATAGTTTAGTAAAGCAGTTCTGTGAAAAATTACTGTCATGTGTCATCATACTGCCTCATACTGTTTAATTTTATACCTCTCTTTCCCTCTTCCCCCATTTGTTTTGTAGAAACAAAGGGAGAATGTAATCTACAAAGGTTTGTGAGTCATTATTTTTGGTAGGCCAACCCTAATGTGCTTAGACACTTTGGAAATGGAAAGAAGTAGTGTCCCTCTGCTATGGACAAGAGGCAATACATTGAGAAGTTACTCAGGGTAGTGCTCAGTGTTTAAGTGCTTACTGACAGCTTTCTGTTTCATTAGAGTTTTTTTTAACATATATTTTGGGAAAGGGAGGCAGTAGTAGCAGCATTTGTCAGGGTTGAAATAAGAAATGTAGGCAGGAAATAAAAGTAAAGCTTTCAAGAGCAGAATGGGAGTGAGTGACTTAACAGTTGGCCAATTTCAAAGTACATGATGAGGTATAAAACTACTGAATGTTGTTGGAGTTCCATAAGCGGCGAGGAGAAGCAGACAGGCCAACCCAATATGGGTGATAAGCAAACTTCTACCCTATTTGTGACGCAGTTCACATATATATAGGAGTGGTATTCAGCCACTCCTCCTTGGCACAACAGTATTGGTTAGCCCCACACAGCTTCCTCCACATTCTCCTCCTAGGTCCGGTTTCCGGTTACCTGTGGGGGCCGCCCCCTGCCTTGCTCGCACAGTCCTCCAGGGCTCTATGGTCCTGCTCTTAGAGTCATTCTGCAACAGAGTTCTGTTGTTTCCAAATCAGGTGAAGATTGCCAACTATAGGCCAGATTACAGGGAGATGAAAGTAGTTACTTGGTAAAAGCTCAGAACAAAATCCCCCACAATAACAAACCTTATGTTGTTAATCTTCTAAAGGAATCTTATTGCTAATAAAGCCACAGGTACAAATAGATATTACTCTTAAATATTGAAAATATATATTCAGCTTCTTTATAGCTAATATATAGATTTAGTTTCTTTAGATTTTAGCTAAACGCGTTTGAAGTGAAATAGACACTTCATTTTTTTGCAAGTAAGTGGAAAGCGATCATGAAGTTAACAACATCAGCACTCAAAACCTTAATTATTTAGAGCTGATTGAGTGATAATATAATAAGGCTTCTCCTGTGTACTGCCTCTTATGAACTACACAGTACTCATGAAACATTACAAATCTGAATTTTTCTGGAGATACAAAAGTGCCACATCTGCATTACAAATTTCACCCCTATAGCAGAGTCATGCCAAATTAACTGCATTGCTATAAGTATGATTAATGATCAGACTTGTAAATGGCTTCTGGCAAAACATAGAAAACTACTTTCTTAAATATTAAATCGCGCACATTCCCTGACAAAAGTATGATAATTATACCAACTTCCCTTGTATCTGCTTCTGTAAATCTCACTAAGACAGTAAATGAGTGAAATGGTAATTCCCACTGACTTTTAAACCTGGCTTCATTTAAACCTCTTTTAAATGCTTCTAGGTATGTTTCTGCATCTTTAAAGTGCTCATCATTTTAAAATCTAAATTTGTATGACAATGTAGGTTTTGGAAGTTCCAGCTTTTTTCTTCAGCTATAATCTGAAGTATTTTTGAGATGTATTCTTTCTTTCTGTAAAATCATAAGTGGTTGTGTTTAGGGAAGAAAACATACGTCAATACAGTAATATAAATATAACAACATATGTAAATAACATACACAGTGGTAACTTTGCAAGCTCTATCTATGGCTTTGGAGCCCTGGTGTATTCCAGAATGAAAAAAAAAACCAACAAACCTGTCAAAGAATTTCATGTGGTTGTACAATGTGAAACAAGTGGGATAAAGCAAAAAGTAAGACAAAGTAGCAAAGAGATGGCACATGTCTTCCCTCTCTCACTCAGAATGGTGATAAAGTGTTGAAAAAATTAGCAGCCCTTTTATCTGTGAGATTGTGCACTATGTTGTATGCGGTTGTGAGCTGTACTACATGTATCAGTTTGGCTTGATGAGTGGCAACTCCTTCGTGAAGGAGCACAGCTGAGTGTCTTTGAAGGAGATGAATGCGATTACACTTGATGGGTCTAATCCAGTGTGTACTTGAAGAAAGATTAAAGAAAAGTGTTGACAGTATTATAGAAACTAATCCAAGGTAATCTGTTTTCTGCTACAATCTGCAGTCTGAACCAGTAGTTTTGCCTTATTCCCCAGGGATTTCTGTGTGTGTTTCTTGGTAGAGGCTTATTTTACTGGATGTTCGCTTATTTAGAGAGGTCTTTGTGTGTTTTTTTTTTTTTTTTTTTCCTCTTTTTTTTTTTTTCTCCTATTTAGAATGGATAGGAGCTGAACTTGTCATTCATCTTAGCCTGGAAGCCAATGCTGATGTAGAATAGTATGAAGTGAAGACATCTTGTCTCTGTCTGTTTCAACAGCAGTCATTAGCTAGGGGAGATTTGCATTTTGTAATACACACCTAAATGGTTGAGGTTTTGTTTCAGTCCTGTGTGGGAGCTGATGGAATATAAATCTCATGTTCTGTCCACTGCAGTGTGTGTGCCCAGCATCACCTAAACACAATTCTGTTCTGAAGATGTTAAATTTCGTCATTCTGTAGCCACTATTGATTGGGAAAAAAAAAGAAAAAGGTTTTAATAAAACTTCTATGAAGACCTGAGGTCTGACTTTCCATACTGAAAGATTTAAGTAACAAAGACCAAGAAATTCAATGCATTTCTGCTCTACTATAGATAAGCAAAACCACACAATAGAAGAGAAAGCTTACTATGAAGAGTCTAAAAGGCACAGCTAAAAGAATTGCACAAGTAGTGTGAAGGAGACTGTGCTAGAAGCATAGAGCCAGTGCTTGCCATCGTTCAGAAGGGCTTGAAAAAGGGTGAAAAGTCAGTATGGTGATTGCTGGGAATAAGGAAGTACCGCTCAGAAAGCTGAAGTTATGTCCAAGTGAAGGAGTTTAAAATGACCTTTAGCCTTGGCAGGTTATAAGTAAAAGTCCAAATGGGCAAGCCAGAAAGCTACCTTAGGAGTGGGTAGGAGTGTCAGAGTAAGCATGGACTCTTTAATCTGGTAGAGAGACTGTGGAAGTGAGATGTGACAGAAATCTGCAAAACCACGAGTGGCATAGGGAAGACTGAGAGCCATTTCGTCCAAAATGAAAATGAGGAGGCATGTAAATGTAACTAAAGGCCAGGTTCAAGGCCAGGTTCGATGTGGCTTTGAGCAACCTGCTGTACTGGAAGTTGTCTCTGCCTATAGCAGGGGGGTTGGAACTAGGTGATCTTTAAGGTCCCTTCAACACAAACCATTGTATGAAGTCTAAAAGCCAAAGCTGTTGTTTGCATAAGGAACACCTGAGCACTCTCTTTTGCTTAAAGTTTACATCAGTTGAAGGAGTGACAGGATAAGTTTGTAGAAGAGGGGCCTTTCGAATTTTGCTAAACCACATAGAAATTACTGGAAATAACCTGAAAATGGTGAGAGGCCAAGAGATTGTTGAGAAGGGTGTATCTTGCGTGCTGATACACCTTAGCACTGGTGTTGGTGGCTGAACTTGCAGATGAAAGTGGTGACTGGTATAAAAGTGACTGTTTATCCTATTTTTCAGTAAGGATCTGAGAGAAAGTTACTCTGGGAATAACAGGTTTGGAACAAGTGCCCTTGAGCATCTTAATCAAGTGAAAAAGCACTGAAGGAAAAATGTTAAAAAAAAAATAAATGCAATGTCTAATGGTTTTGTTTTCATGCTGCCTTCCCAGGAATCTCATGATCACATTCTGTTGGATATTCTTGTCACTGGAGAGCAGATGAATCACTATTGGGCTGCAGCTGAAACTGCTCAAAGTGAACTTGCAGCACTTTCAGTGAAGTATGGTTGTGCCCAGTCAGAGGTACATTTAAAAATACTTCCAAGTCGTTCTCCAAACCTAAGGATTCTTTATGATCACTTTCTGCAAAGAATAGAAACCTTTGTTTAGATACAGAATGTCTTGTTTCTCATAACATTCTTTTTAGAATTTCAGTGTGAATTTCCCTCTCCTGGCTTCTGTGTTAATGAACTGATTATGAGTTCATATTAAAAATTAAAAAAGGCCCTATCAATGAAACAAAATTTCTTTAATTTTGGGAAACAGCAAGAACATGTAATATTGTAGGAGAATGAATTGTTACTACAGTATTCAGCCAGGACTATAGGGATAAGTGTCCATTGTCTGAGCTTGAATTTGACCAGTTGATCCTGGAATTACTGCAGAGTTCCCCTCCATTTAATAGTTACACAGGACCAGTACTTTAAATTTCAGTTTTATAAAGCCAGACAGAATCTTGTGTTCTCATAGAAAGAATGCATTACTGGAAATGCTGAATGGCTTTTTTGCCAGCATGACTGATTGATTTATAGATTCTTCCAGCACTGTGCTTGCAAAAGCAAAAGGATAGTTAAGAAAGCAGCTTCATGCTCTTGTTAATAAAGACCTTCGTGACCCAGCTGAGGTCAGAGCCTTGTTCTGCTGAGTGCTCTGTAAAACTTATGATATGGGATTATTCTTGCTTTTTCTGCAGTTGGAACTGACCACAAGGACAATGGACAGAGGAAAAAATATCACATTTTGAAGATGGGGAGTTGAACCACAGAGAAATTTTAAGGTTATGGACACTTTAAGCTACCATAGCTTGGTCCAGCTGCCAAGCAAAGCAATCCTTTTGTTCCTTTAGCTGCTAATTTCCTTCCCTACACTGCCCCATCCCTAGTGCTGGCACAGATATATGTGTAGTTTTACAGTGCACTTTTTTGTTGAGGAACTGATGCAACTGAAAAATAAAGTCTTCCTTATGGGTTGTTTTTTACCCAGACCAGTTTCCCAATATTGTTTCACCTTATGGTCATATCAATACCTCTGCTAGCACAAAGAGGGTGAAATACAGAAACAAAACCCATCAGGCTGGGAAAAGGCAGAGCTAATTTTCTTGAAGTCAGTGCTCCTTTATGTCAGCTCCAAAGTGTCTCTTGAGCCAATGCTTGAAGGTGAAGCCTTTTGGAGACTATGTTGCTGCTGCAAGAGTGGTCCTCTTGCCTGACTCCTTGATGCTAGCCTTTTCCCTGTGGCGTGGCCAGCTCCCCTTCCTCTTCTTCCTCTGTAGAAAATGAATTCTTTTCTATCAGCTGTGTTTTAAGTTGTTTGTGAAGGAGTCAGACAAATACCGGAGCTGGTGCAAGGGAGAGGACAGGCGTGTGGGCTGGGAGCAGGAGGAGCAGGAATTCTCTTTTCCAAGGCACTTGGCTCACTGGCTTCCTGGAATTTCTCTAAGTATCTTTGGTTTGGTCACATTGGAAGCCTCTGGCAGAGCCATGAATTTCCTGACATCCTGAATTGCAGCTTAATATCTTAAATATTTATTGCCTTAAAATATTTGCCATGAGTTAAAAGCCCTAGCACACGTCATAAGGAACAGTTAATGTGGCTTAATTATTTGTCTATAAATTTTACCTAGTAGGAGATTAATGTTTCGTATTGCATCTTGCTGCTTTCTTCTGCAATCCAAAGCATTCAGGAAAGCTGAAACATGCATTAACACTTATTGTGGAAAAAAAAAAAAAATCAGTTTTAAATGACTTGTTCATTTAAGTGAAATAAAACACACTGAAATTTTGTGTCCCTGGTGTGTCTGCCTCAAGCTCAGTCTTTCTGAAAAGCTTATAGCAGAAATAAGGCAGAAAATTGGTATTTTTAGCTAAAAGAGTGAGAGGAAAGTAAAAAACTCCACAAACCGTTAGGAAGTTCTAGCATCATCTCTGTAAGAGGTTGTTGACATTTGGTGGTGATGTCCCTCCTCCTACCCTTCCTTAAAAGGCTCTCTTGCTGTTTCTGTGTAAATCCAGCTGCATTTGATTGGATATTAGATCAAAAAATAACCGTGTGCCAAAGATAAGCCTACCACGTGTCTACAGCACAGATCTCCAAAAATTTGTTTGAATATGCTGCAAGCATCAACAGGCTCCACCCTCGTACAAGAGGATACTGTGCTGTTACAGCTCCCTCCAGGTATAGATTATCTGTGGAATTGTGCACCGGAACTGGGAGGAGGCAGGCCGAAAAGAGGGAATAGTGGTGTCAGTATTTAATGTAGATGCATAAGGTAGGTGAGTTAAGGTGGACTGTTTTAAATTTTGAATTTGTAAATAAATTTATCTGCAAGAGATTACCTTGAAAATTTGTATTACACAACAGCAGCACTTGCTTATACAAACCTCTCCTATTGCTTTTTTCCTAGATATATGAAAATAAAGTTGTGTACCTCCACTCAATCCTGTAGGGAGAGAAGACTCTGAGTCTTTCATTCCAATGTGCTTCTTGTCATATTATTAAACTTGTAGTTCAGTCACATATTTCAATCTTGGCAAAATTCTTCTTTCTTTCTTTTTTTAATGAAATTTCTTCTTTTCTATCTGTAGCTTCTTAAACTCAGGTCCAGAATGGTCTCTAAAGAAGCCTCTTTTCAAGAGCTGAAGTCTGAAGCTGAAAGCTACAAGGAAAACAATGCTAGACAAATGTCTCGCCTCCTGTCTTTGCAAGCCCGAATTCAGGAGATGGAAGAAGAAGTGTATGTGCTTGCCAGTTCTAAAAACCAGTCTGAGCTGAAAGCTCAGGTGGCATTAAAGGAAAACTTGGAGCTGAAGGAGGAGCTTCATGAGCAAAATGCCAAACTTAAGTAAGATTCATGTGAGATAAGAAACAATTTTTGTTTGGGATGACAGAATCGTGCTGTTGCCAGGACAGAAAAATACATTGGTGGACAGGCTTTATTGCAGATCTGAATTCAGTTACAATGTCTTGCACAACCATTGTACCTGAAAGTGTGGAAGGTATTGGAACTTGAATTTTGGTTTGAGTTGTTAGCCCATAAATGGCGTTTTGCATTGAGGCAGACCTTGTGCCTTTCATAGCACACTCACAATGAGCAGTACCTGGAAATATTGTGTAGTGCCCTGGTCCAGCTTTATCAAATGGCATCTTTTGCAGATGTTTACTTGTCACTTCACATGCTGCGTGGGCTGTGCAGTGGTGAGCGACTGTGCTGCTGCATTGCTCTGGTCTATTTTCCCCTCTTCTGCGTCACAGCTGGAACCAGAACAGTGTCAAGTGTATTTCTTCCTTAATGTAAACCTGTCCATTAGGAGCAGAGTAATAAAGAAAACATGGTGTAATTCCTAGTTGTTAGCATCCTGAAGGGAGCGTGTTAATGTTTGTTTAATGGCTGTGCAGCTTTCAGTAATGTTAGCTTTCTCTGACTTCTGCTTACTTCTGGACATTTGTGTGCATTTTTTATTTTTTTAAACATGTATACTGATTGCATAAAACTTTTATTAAAATATAGTATCCTTAACTGTGCTGTTGTTAGCATAGTGTGTCAGAGCACTGATATGTCAGTTCTGCATAAATACTAATATTTCAGGTCTGTGGGATGGAGACTGATAACAATGTTAGTCACAAAGAAAACTGAGTGGTATAAAAATATTCTGAGCTCTAAAATTCCAAAATCAATGTCAGTCATATTATATTGACACCTTGTATACTTCTATAATGGATTTTTTCCACCATTACAAGGCTAATATCCATTTCTCTCTCGATACTGTCTATTTAACAGCAAGGTGAGTGTTTACCACATGTCTGCATTTCCCAGCTCAGTACTCCGCACAGCTCTTTCAGGCTTTGTACATTAGAAGTGGATAATGAAGTTATTTTAAAATCTGGAGAAATCCATTGCAGTGCACTTGTCTATTACCAGATGATTTGACAAAAGCCCTGCATGGAGAGTAATGATGTTGATCACCAAAGATTTTAGGTATGACCCAAATATAAGTGAGGAGATAGTTAAGCCAAGAAGTGTATTATGCATCCTAGCAACATAGAGAATATCACAGTCTCTGACATATGGTTAAGGTTCTTTAAAGTGCTACTTCTTGCAGTAAAATAAATAGCTTAATTTCCAGCTCTACAAATCCCAGGTCCAATTCACTGTGCACCTGGCAAAGAGTGCTGGCAAGAGGGAGAGAGGGTGAATGCACTCTGTTGGAAGGAACAAACATGTTGCACTGGCTGTAAATCCACAGTGTATGCTCTCAAAGGTTTTTCTCATCATCAGCTAATGGTTACATGTGCCACTTAATGCTAGTCAATATATGACTTAATGAGCTTTAGTCGCTTGGTCTGGCAAACGTAGTAGTACCTGGCACATACCTAGTCCTGATTAGGTATTCAAGAAAGACTTTCACTGAAAACCATTAATAAAAGGGAAGAGCAAGCCACTAGGCATGAAATGCATGTTTACATCCTATACCTAGAGACATAGCAAAAAAATGTTTAATGAATTGTGTGATTGGTTTCCAGGATTGTGTGATTGGTTTCAACACCTCTCCTGTTGAAAATAGTGCTTTTTTACTCAACAGGTCTATTGCCAAGGTATATTTAGAGCCTGAACTGTGAAAAGCTTTTTTTTTTTTTTTTGTCTCCCTTTCCTCCCTTTGTCTGTGCTCATTAGTTCTGAAGAGCTAACAAAACTGTGAAAGTCCTGCCTTTCTACTTTTTTTGTACCTGATTCCCTATTTTCTGGGTGCTCACATCTTTATGGCCCTACTGAAGATAATTAGGTTATTTGTAGGGTTGTCAAGTATGTTCTTTGTACTTCAGATTGTTTATTTTTAGAAGGAGGCATGGTTCTGTGTGTGGTGTGCCTCAGTTTTTCAGAGCTACATAACAGCTTGCAGGGTTTGTGGTCAATCTTGTACAATATTCTAACATACAGGCATGCATGTTGGATGTTCTTGGAACCTTATAGCTTTTCACTTCCGACATACCCCTCATCAGGACAGCAGTTAAGTGGCATGTCACAGCTTAGTTTGGCTGGGACTACACAGGAGAGGAAGGTGCTCAGAGGTGAGGAAGCTGTGAGGCTCTTGTTTTCTGAGGGCCAGTGCCTGCTACAGAAGGCAGAGCTCTTTTGGCTCACAATGTGTGCCATGCAGAAGCACATGGAACTATCTTTGTCCTGTCAAGAGCAGTAATTGATGTTTTCCATTCCTCTCTGTTATTATTCCACCTTCCTCCACTGGGCAGCATTGGAACAATTGTGCTGATCTCCCTCCTAAGGCAATAGCTTAATTTTTTTCATGGACCATCTCTTCTGCTCACTGTTCTATAGCTATTTAAAGTACTATGTATACACTAAATGTGCATTTTCTATAGGAGTCTCATGCTGCTTTTTGATTACGGAGTGATGCTCTGTTGACTGTTTGATTGCCAACCTAGAGAGTTAAAAATCAGATATGGAAAAGAACTAGTACAGAAATGACAAGCACACCCACCTTGAAAACTGACAATAATGCTATGTTCTTGATAAGCAAATGAGTTTCAATGAAATATTTGCTTCATGTGTTTGGTGATATCTCACATCTCTTTTTATTCTAGTGGTCAAATCTTTGTGAAGAACTTGCTTTAGAAAGTACCTTGTTTCTCAACTAGAAGCTCAGTAGTTTTGTCTCTTGCACTCTACCACTGATTACCTCTCTCATGGGTATTATCTGAGAGGTATTGGAGTTGATATCTGGGTTATCCTAATAGTCACTTTGAGCTTTGTTTGGCCTTTTTTGTTAACCTGTTTCTCTGTAGTTTTTCAGAATCAGAGAATCATAGAGTCAACTACATTGGAAAAGACCTTTAAGATTATCAATCCAACCTTTACCCCAGGATTACCAAGTCCACCACTAAACCATGTCACTGAGGGCCTCATCTGCATGGTGTTTGAATGCTTCCAGGGACAGCGATCTCACCACTTCCCTGGGCAGCCTGTTCCAATGCCTGATTACCTTTTCAGTGAAGAAATTTTTCCTAATATCCAGTCTAAACCTCTCCTGGCACCGCTTTAAGTGATGCTCAGTGTTTCAGCATCATGAGCAAGATTTTAATTTATATGTTTGCTACTCATGCAGACAGTGGCAATGCTTGTTTGCTGGGCTTGTGTTTGGTAACAGGAGGGATGTAACCACATTTTGCCAATGAGTTAAACTGACTGCTCTGTTATTTGGTTGTTCCTTCTTACAGAGCCTCTATAACCTGATACCTGCGGTTAAAGATGATAACATTATTTCATGTGGGATGTGTATCCCCATGATAGGCAACTTTTAAAGATGAAATTGATGACAAAGAGCTGCCTTTTCTTCATACTTTTGTCATAGTCCCTTGATATTTTCTGTTTTGATCCATCCCTTTCATGGGCAGTGTTACACTGGACAAGTCTGTATGTACAGTGAAATAGTCTCCCCCATCTCTGCTTCTGCTCGTAAATTTCCCTTAGCAGGTACTCTGGATGTCCTACAATTCCATTAGTGTAGTTAGAGAGGCTTTTTCTTTCCCAGAGCTTGTTGATCAGCACTATCAGCTTCTTTAGAGAGGGGATGAGAAGTGCTGTTAGCATGTTTTTATTGTAATTTGCTCATTCTTTTCTCCCTTACTTTTTCCTAAGCTTTCACTTGTAGCCCCCATTTCTAATATATTGAAAGCACTTTTTATTGATGTCTCCTGGTTCTTGTGTTTTATTGAAATCCTGTGCTGAGAATTAGGTTGGGATCACAGAATATTCTTTAAAATATTAATCAAAATCCAAAATGAAGAAATGTTTGCACATAAGGTAACAAATAAAATTATATGTCTTTAAATAACAGATACAGAGAATTATACTCAACTTTTAAAATTCATTTTGTGGTATGCAGAAGCTAGCAATAAACCTGGGATAATGTCTTTTGCCTGGAATTTTGTTTCAGAGAACATTCATACTGATGTCTCTGTTTTTTTTTTTTCTGTCCAGTAAATGTTTGAAAGAGTGTGAAGAAAGCATGACTCAAACTTCTAAAATCAGCAGAAAATATGAAGAGCTTCTTACAGAGCTTTCTGGATTATTGGACACAGACATTAAAGAAAAAGAGAAACCACAGGAACATTTAATGTCAAAGGTGATTATGTGTAGGCAAGGGTTTCAGTATAGCAATTTAATAAAAAAATATTTGGTTGTCAAAGAAATAAAGTGATGAAGACAGGAATCTTTGTACTAAATAATGATCTGCAGATAATGCTGTCATTTAAGACAGATTTTTTTTCACATTGGGCTGATTTTCAAAGGTGCTGAACACTAATAGACCTCAATGAACTCAGTCTTCTCTTATTTGTATAAATATCTTATCAGCCTGTGGTTCCCAAGTACAGCCCTGGTTAGATATTTGTTTGAAAGCTTTCCTGAAAACATTAACACTGGGAGTCTCTAGGTGATGTGCAAACTCCACCACTAGATCTTAACACTTGTCTCAAGCCAACATATCATAAATAGAAACATCTGAAATGGCATACCCTAAAACAATCTTAACTATGCCCTGTAACAAAAAGCTGTAAATTACTGTGTGGTGGTTTTGAGACTTAATCATAAAACTTTATTATTTATCTATCTTCAGAATACTTCTGAAGTTCCAAAAACTAAGCTTCCAGAAAGGAAAATTATTTTTATGCTCTTTTAACATTTATCAATGCTGCTGAAGGGCATTTTATCCCAGTTTTATGCTTCCCCCCCCCCCCATGTTCTGCTATTCTTTGCTGTCCCTATTTTTCTGCATTTGAGAGCATACTAGGTGTTTTGGCAAATTCTGTTTCATTATATTCATGTTATTGTAAGAGTTCTGTCTATAAGGAATTCCTTAATATACTAAGATTTTCTAAGTACATATCATAGCTATTTCTTTGAGTACTTGCCCTTATAATATTACAGGCACATTGAAATTGTATTAGGTGCTCTAATAAAACTTGGCTAGTTGTCATTAGAAGCAAAAATGTTTGTAAGCTGTAACTCTTACATGCTTTAAGTTAAGGAAATAACTGCAGTTTAAAAGAGAAAAGTATATGTTGGTGTCTTGTTTTAACAATATAGTAATAAATCTAGTTGGGAAATCTAGTTTATGCTGAAAACTCTGTGCATTAGGAAACCTTAGTCACTCGTTTATTTGGGGTCATGGCACTTCTATTTTTTCCACATCATGGTTTTCTTTAAGGCTGAATTGATCTGTCTTAGTCTTAACAAACATCTTGCCAGTAGGAGTTAGGGTACATTTTTTACCTTATGCACGCTCTGAAGTGCCCACATTCATTTATTCCACTTAGAAATAGTGTAATGTATCAAAACAGCCCTAGAATCCTCCTGGAAATGACTCCTTTTTCCAAGGGGTCAGCTGCTTAGAACAGCAAGCCACCAGGTATTTGGCCCTATCCTTGAATACGCTTATGAGATAGCTGTTACTAACTCAAATCTCCCCATGCCTAAAAAGTTCCAAGCATAAAATGCAGCTTTCAGTTCCTCATTCCAAATGAGAGGCATATAAATCTTAACAATCCAAACTGAAACTGTCTGCTTTTCACATGAAGTTAGCTACATGATCTGTTTTCATTTTCTCATCTGCTTCATGTCAAGTGCAGATATGTAATGACAGTAACTTTCCACCTGTTTAATAGATCATGCAGGTTGTGTGGGAGTAAATCTGAACTACATTACACTAAGTTGTGGGTTTCTGGTGGGAATATATTTCTCTTTTTAAATGTCTTTCTACTCTTTTTAGAAAGGAATAATAGAGCACAATTATAAATCTGACCTAGGGGTCACCAATAACACCATGCCTTTGTTGAGATGATGATGAGCATGTGTACTGGGATGAATATATGTAGCTTTAGGTGCTTTAAAAAACTTACTAGTATTTGAATTATTTCTCTAGGTCTCTGAAATATGTAAAGAAAATCTGACCCTAAAAGACCAGGTTGCTTCTCTTCAAGAAGCTATCAACATCCATGAGATGGAGTCCAAAGCTAGTAGAGAAACTATCATGAGGCTTGCTTCAGAAGTGACTAAGGAACAGAAAAAGGCAGCAGGATGCTATCAAGACATGGAAAAACTTAGTAAGGTACATAATTGCATGATGTGTATGTTTGGTTTTCAAATGTTTTCTCAAAATTTCAAATTAATTTTCAGTAAGAGTTGTATGAGAAAGAAAGCTTCTGAGAGACTTCTGGTGATTATGGTCTTTCCTAAAAAGGACATTTTTCAACAGTTATTCTCAACTTTTTAAAAGCTTCAAAATATATGGAGATTAAGCAATAACATTGTGTAAAATAAATCTGTTGTAGATTTGATGTCATCCAATGATGCTTGCAAATTTCTATTTTTGCTTCCTTCATATTACTGTAACCTTTTCTGTGCTTGCACAAATATGTAAATAAACACATGTTTATAGAGTTAATGAGTGAGTATATCTGAGTCATGAGCATGGAACAATGAAAACATGCTTTTTTAAATATATGTGATATTTCAAGTTTTCTGAGGATTCTTTTATTCAGTTTCTCTAACAAATTCTAATGACAAATTGAAAAGAATTGATAGGACACAATTTTATTCTTTCTTTTAAGGAACTGGAAGTAAAGTGTCTTGACTTCCAGACACCCTAGATTATCTTTTCATTATTATGAAGTTGTATTTCAGAACTGTAAATACTCAGTTGGCTTGTACTCAAAATGTTGCAGGCAGTAGCATGGCTCTTGCAGGTAAGCACAGTTTTTCTGTGGGGAATCCGTAGAGGAAATCTGTGCAGGAGGAATGATGCTGAAATTAGAATTCTAAGTTAAATTGTAAGTCAAGTATTCACCAAATTCACCTAGATATGATTTGGAAAGAAAAAGGATATGATTTAAGGATTTAATTGCTCCAGGAATGCTTGTCATTAGGGGTTTTTGTATACTGCAGAGGATGGATGAATAAAGTTCTGTTGCAGTTTTCCTTATAACTTTGTACTTTGAGTGATAACTGTGGGAAATGAGCAGTTTAATAAAAACGTAAGGAAAATTTCCCACAGGTACTAGAGCCAGGGTGGTTAAATCTGATGGCCAGAACTTTAAGAAAATAAGAAACATAGACTGAGTTGTGTGTGACTGAGTTTGTAGAATTTTTTAACATAAAGGCAACCTTGTGCAAATAAGTTTTCAAATGTAATGCAACATTTTCCCCACACCCCTAGCATTACTTTTTTCCTGAACAGACCACCACCACCATACACTTGGGATGCAGTGTTCTGATTTGGCTGTAGGCAAAATACTTAGGTGATGAGGAACAGCTGAGAGTGTGCTCTGAAGAAGAACAAATTTGTTGTGAAGAAGATAAATGTTAAGTACTACAAGGGTCACAAATTTTACTTACTGCTGAAAATATTTCTTACCAAGCTGTGCAAAAATTTCTCAGATTCAAAGGGGAGTGAGAACCTGCACCAGAAAGTTAAACAAGTCATTTTTGAGAACATTTTTTTCTCATACTTCACTTCAGACACAGGTGTGTGAGTAAGAACAGAGAGTATTTTGCTCACTAAGTAAGCTGGAGTCAGGAGACGTTTTAAACCAAGACGAGAGCTTCAACTGTGACTTGTTTTGCAAGTTTGCTCTGACTATCAAAACATTTCCAGAGTTGAGCTAGTCTTATGAAAAATATTTTCCTATCTTGCATATGCCAAATACATAATTTATTTAACACCATTTTACAGAAATGTCATACTAAATTATTAGTACTGCCTTTCAAATGAAATGTGTGCCATCAGTGCCTATCTAGAATCTGTAGATTTCTCTGTTGCTGTTTCAGCTACTTAAATTTACAGATACTGAGTAAATCTCTTGTGAAGATTTTGTATTCATAGAAGCATATTCAAAAATTCAGTGTTGTAAAAGTAAGTAAAAAACCAAAAAATGCTTTAATTCCACATATGTAAAAGAGGGTATATGGCATCCCCTGTTACCCTGGTGGATTTATTACTACGTTACAGGAATGGCATCAGTGGGATAAAGTCAGTTTGACTTTGTCGTTTGACTTTGTCGTATACTTTGCTGCACAGTTTTAGCACATGAACTGTTGTGACATGTTCATCTGTGAAGGTAAAAAGCAGAGATCCATACTATTCCTGTACCAGAAGAAGCAGATGCAGAGGTGTGTTTCTGGACTGTTTTCTGGGCTTTAATTAATGGAATTGCCTGTAGCAGAGTTTACCCAGCACAGACCAAGTACAAGTGACTCTTGCCAGCATTTGCCTGAAGCTTCCAGGGCCAAACATGTTGGCCATCTTCTGTATTACAGATTGAGATGGCAGCCTGTTTCCCCAGTTTTCTCTCAAAATTTTTCCTGAGTATAGAGGCCGTCCCACAATTTTGTCAGCCTTCTCCAGCAAGCCTCAGTCACCACACTGTTCCCTGCCACCTCTGAATCATTTTTTTCTGCCCAGGTAGCTCTTCACTCCTGCTCCTTTGGATTTCTGTGAACTTTCTTTCTTGACCTTTCTTTATGTCTAGGGTGGAGGCAGCTGTCTAAAGGTCTCTTAAACAGATTGTAGATTCTGAAATTCTCAATGAAGAAAATGAAAGCCAGTTGGTTATGTTTTAAGATTAGTAAGTGGGGGTAATTCCCTTTAGTGTCCTTTAGTGTATTTGATGCTTGAGCATTTGTTGCAGTTAGCTGGTTTTCATTTGAAGAACATTGACAAGTGAATGATAGTTTCACCTGTTCCCCTCTCAGCCTCACTGCATCACAGTAATGAACAGCAAAGAACAGAAACCAATGCAGTCTCAAAAGTCATATAAGTATCAAAAGCAAGCCACCAAGCTGTTTCATTGTAATATACTTTCTGTTAGCATTCTAAACGTCTCAGCTTTCTGACCAAATATTGCAAGAGCTTGCTTCTGGAATTCTGCAAATACTTTGCATACCTTTATTCTGGCAGTGCTGGGTATCAAATTTGCATTTGATATAAAAATATCTTTTGAATGCTGCTCAGTTTTCTAGACTCAGAATCAGAATACCTGTTCTTTCTTTCTGTATGTCCAGATAATGATTAATAAGTGATTAATAAGTGATAATCATAATTACAGAATTATAACATTCTTTAAGTGTGTAGAGGCCATCACACTGTTCTGGCAGTCTTCTTCAGCAAGCTTCAGCCACCACAACGTTTCCCGCCACCTTTGAGAAAGCAGGTCCTTAAAAAACATTGTATTTATTTGCTCTAGCCAAGTTTCTTTCCAGTATTCCTAACTAACAGCCAGTCAAAACCTTTTGAGGTGCAACTTGAGGCCATTTCCTCTTCTTATTGCTTGTTACTTGGGAGAAGAGACTGACCCCCACCTCACTACAACCTCCTTTCGGGTAGTGGCAGTGAGTGATAAGGTCTCCCCCGAGCCTCCTTTTCCCCAGGCTAAACAACCCAGTTTCCCCAGCTACTCCTCGTAAGACTTGTGCTCAAGACCTTTCACGACTTCATTAGTCTTCTTTGGGTGTGTTCCAGCACCTCAGTGTCTTGTAGTGAGGGGCCCAAACCAACATACTATTTGAGGTGCAGCCTCACCTGCACTGAGCACAGGAGGACAATCACTTCTCTAGTGCTGAACAGACACACTATTTCTGGTTGAGAAGAAGCTCAACATGACCCAGCATATGCACTTGCAGCCCAGAAAGCTATCTGTATCCTGGGCTGCATCGAAAGAAGCATGTCCAGCAAGTCAAGGGAGGTGATTTTCCACTTCTACTCTACTCTCATGAGACCCCACCTGGAGTACTGCATCCAGCTCTGGGGCCCCCGATATAAGTGGGATCTAGACCTGCTGGAGAGAGTGCAGAGGAGGGCCACAGATGATCAGAGGGCTGGAGCACCTCTGCTATGGAGACAGGCTGAGAGAGCTGGGGTTGATCAGCCTGGAGAAGGCTTCAAGGAGACTTTAGAGCTGCCTCCTAGTACCTAAAGGGAGTCTACAGGAAATCTGGAGAGGGACTTTTTACAAGGGCATGTAGGTATGGGATAAGGGGGAATGACTTTAACCTAAAAGAAAGCAGATTTAGGTTAGATATTAGGAAAAAATTCTTTCCTATGAGGATGGTGAGACACTGGACAGTTTGCCCAAGAGAAGTTGTGGATACCCCATCCCTGGCAGTGTTTAAGGCCAGGCTGGATGGGGCTTTGAGCAACCTGGTCTATTGGAAGATGTCCCTGCCCATGGCAAGGGGGTTGGAACTAGATGATCTTTAATGTCCCTTCCAACCCAAACCATTCTATAATTGTATGTATTGTTATATAAAAGACCTTATCACTTCTTTTTTCATCTTTCATTTGCGTGCCTCTTTAATGCGGTCATCTCCCTCATTTTGTTTTGCAGTGTTAAATACAGCCCTCTTAGCCATCCCTTATTAAAGACTCCTCTCTGCTTAAAAGACAGAAGTAATTTTCCTCACCTGTTACAGCTTAAACACATTTTCTGTTAACACAGCTGCCCTAATATTGAACACATAATTTCTCATGAAAGAGGCCTTGCCAACATCCTGTGTAATGTTCCGGTTACTTCTATATCTTCTCTAGTCTAGAGCAGGTAGGGTGCCAGCAGGTGATCGTACAAAATGCATACCAGAACCTTCATATAATTCAGAGCCGTGGGACTTTTGCCATAAATGTTGAGGAATCAAGGAAAAAACATGAACTGTCATGGTTTCACCCTCTCAGTCTTCTGTGGTGGAAGTTGTTTGCTTGCATTGATCACTTAGGCTCTTGGGTTTGCTTCTTGTTGGGACGCCATCTTTACATGTCACAGTCTCTAAATTTCTGGGAACTGTTCAATGATGCGGGTCTAGCTCTTTTGATTCAACTGTGTTTGTTTGCAGATGTTCATAATTTGAAACAAGATTGTATAATTAGGTAAGCTCCCTGGTACTTGCAACTACTCTTGCACAGCCTTTTTGAAAGGAAAAATGCACACTGCTGAAAACTGTAATTGAAATAAATGACTCTTTCTTCTTTGCTGTAATTACCATAATGTAATTCTGAGCACAGGTGGGAAATTGCTATTAATAGGACCAGTTTAGAATTTAAAAGGAGAATATGGCAAGGAATCATGCCAAAATTTGTTTCCAAGAGAGTTCTGCAATTACTTTAGAAAGGGTTAGTAACAAATAATTTCCTAAATGGCAGGGTTTGTTTTGGTTCATTTTCACTTATGTGTTTGCATGTTTGCCTTTTTGAAGCTATTTTAAAAATCTAGTATTTTTAGTATTGTATATTTCTATTTCATTTCCAAGTGTACCACCCAAACTCCTTTTTTGTCCACCCTCACTGTTGATCTACATAAATACTCCCAGATTTACTACTTGATTGCCACGTATGCCATCAATACAAATGACTCACTATGCTACACAGCAAGCACATGTAGACCCTGAGAGATTGCCAATTGGTCACCATATTCACAATTGCACTGGGAACAATTCTTTAACACCAGTGTACTCAATCTTATTTCTTATCAATCCACTTACTGAGACACTGCTAAACAACTGCAGCTTTCAGAGAAATTCAATGGCTCTTTATAAATATGAGCTCCTCTGGCATAATTTTGTGTCTTGTGTAAGGTAATACTCTTTCCCTTTTGCTCCTAGCAATCAGGTAATAGCCTGAAGAATGAAGACAGTCTTTGCTGTAGTATCAGTTGCTTTCACCACAAATTTTATTCTTGCATATGAATGTGTAAGCGCTCTTATTATTGGTTTTGTGGGGAAAGGAAAGAAGTTCACAAGTTGACTGCATGAGAGAGATTTTTTTTTATGTTTACATGAGTTATTTTTCTTTAACCTTTCTACCATCATTTTCTTTTGTGTCATGTGCTAGGATACACAGTTCTGTCTGTCTGCTCTGCCCTGTTTGGTCAATATTTCATATGCAACTGATGTAGATATATATGTGCTGGCTATTGCTTTTTTCTTTCCAAATGGAGTCTTGATTCATCAGAAGGTTTTAAAACCTCTGAGCTTAGGAAAAGAGGATCATGGGTGTCAGGTGTTTTCCTGATGAGGACAATATTGTCTTTGAGTGTATTACTTCTGAAATGCAAGAGACTGACTTAAAAAAACCCACCAACTTACAAGGATACTAGGTAGAGACACCATCCCATTAGTCCTTCCCCAGTTGGCTTCTGCACACTGACAGTCCAGCTGACCAGCAGATGGGGGATGTTGTAGGCTCTGTAGGAAGACACGTAGCTCTTCACTGACTTTCTGCTATTCAACTCGGGCAAATTCAACCTTATGGTAATAGGGATTTTGCTTTCTTCAGAAGATGACGTAGGTCTGAATAATTCCATTTTTGAATTTTTTTCCAAGTGTTTCACAATTTAAGGATATCTTCTTTGAGGTGAAATTGGTATTTGAGCACTTGCACCCTCTTTTATGCTGTCTTTAACATCATGATTGTTTTTTTTTTGGCCTCTCAGTCTCCATTTCTGTGTATAAATAATCTCAGGACTTTTTGTCACATTCAGGTAAACTAATCTCTGAGATCACCTCTAATTCTTCTGTTAACACTGTATTCAGTGAGCTCATTTGTGTTCTTTTGGTCAGCTATGAATTAGTCAGGCAGTTGGACTAGGTGATCATTGTAGGCCTATTCCAACTGAAAAATCCTATCCTATCCTATCCTATCCTATCCTATCCTATCCTATCCTATCCTATCCTATCCTATCCTATCCTATCCTATCCTAATCCCTTCTGAGTTGTAGTACTTTATTTGCATTGCATCTTGTTCACCATTTGTTCTCTAAATCATATTATCTGAATGAAAAAATAAGATAGTAGTAGTTTTACAATAAAAACTTATTTTGTGTTTACCTGAAAATTTTACTCATGTATTCATTCTTGCAGGCCACAGCAAGGGGGTTAGTCTATAGTGTGATTACAGTAGGCTTTGGGCTTTCATTAGTTTCAGTAGGAGTTCTCCTATGAAGCCCTGATGCTGACCCATATGACCAGCATGGGTCTAAATTTCTCTGTCTACAGTACCTGCTTCTGAGTTATTCCCTGCTTTTGTGGAGGGGGTTATAACAAATTTTAAAACACTGGTTTAACTTTTCATGTATTTTAGGATCTTGACAGTGCTATAACAGGGAGACAGAGTTTGGAGATGGAGATCAGAAACCTCCAAGAAAAACTGACTGCTAACCAGAAAGCTTTAGATGCCTCAAAGTGGGAATTGCGCAATCTGAAGAAATCTTCTAATGAGCTGGATAGAATCTTGAAGAGCAGCAGAGAAGAGGCCAGGACTGCTCAGAGCTCTTTGATGTCTTTTAAAGAGCAAATTGCTACCCTACTCAGTGGTGGATCTGCAGCAGTTAAACCTTCAGAGAAGTCCATTTTGGAGAGGATCCAAGAAATTGCAAAGAGGAGAGCAAAGAAATAGTAAGTTAGCAACTGGTGTACTCACCCAACATGTGTATTTATTCTGTTTGGATCCTATTTAATTTTATTAATCTGTTAAAATGTTGGTTCCTTCAGTGCAGGTTTTTGAATTACAGAAATCTTTAATTTTTGTTGTCTATTGATTTGAGATAATAGGTGAAAAACATCTATGTTTTATTAGATAGAAAGGAGTCAGAAATGAAATGAATAATAGATACTGCCAACAAGAAAAGACACAATAGTGACTTCAAGGACTGACTTGTTTCTCAAATTTGATACAATTGATGAGTTGCCCCAGGCATCTTCTTTCTCTTCAATCCTTAAAACCTGCACCTAAAAAGAAAAAGGTACTTTTACACTTAAACATTGTTGAAACCATAGCTGTTCACCATACAGGAGAAAGGCAAAAGGAAGGCAGGTGGGTATTCTAATGCTTTGGCTCTAGGCATTCGGGCTTGTAGTGTTTGCAAAGATGTGTTTGCGTGTACAGGTAGAGAATGGACAGCTCAGGAGGAAGGCAAGCCAAAATGCAGTCTGACCAATGTCAGAATTCTGACACTGCACTGCACTTTCTCAAATGGGTATATATTAATTTTGTCAGTAAACCCTATTATGCAATTAAAAGTCACCCACTAAATCAAAAGTTGTTTTCACTGAGTCACCGAAAAACAATTTCTTTCTCCTTTACAGATTTTAAGATTCTAGCATCTCCTGCTGATGTGATAGTTTTTTATGTTCGCAAATGTTTTTTATTTTCTGTGCAAGAAGAAATAACTCTTGGAAATATCCCTGTGCAATTTGATTAGATATTTTATTAAAAAATACAAACCAGCTCCCCTATACCTTAGTTTGAGAGTCAATATGCCAGATTTCAATGAAAGCAAGCTTTGTGAAATTTCTTGATATTTGAAAGAGATCCACTGAAGTAGAAGTGTGTCAGGAACTTTTTAACATGGAAGCTCTTTACATATGGTTTTGTTATATGTCAGGGAATGTTGTTTCCATAAGCAAAATGCTTTCAAATTGATATCTAATAAGAATTTTATGTGCATTTGTGTTTGCACTGTTTGGTGTTTTGGCATATAATACACTCTGTTGAGATGTTGATTATGTTGAAGACTGCTGAGGACTGCTGAGAAGGGGAAATTTAAGTAGCTATTGGCTAAAAAGGTTTTGCTTCTGGGAATACTTTCAGGTGACCTGCTGCTTTTGTAAGATTCAGTTGCAGCTAAGTCTGCATACCATATTGAGCAGCTGTTAGTCTTTTTATGGATATACTGCAGTACATGCATAGTGTGTGGTACTTATTTCAGTTCTTATTGTTCCTGATTTTGTTCCTTAATATTAGCTTTATATTCTGGGTTGCCCATCCTGCAGATGGGTAGTATTGGGAGGACTGGTCTTTATTTTGTTGCAGTTAGGGACTTTTTCAGCTGCTTGAGAAGAACTTGTCTTGTTCTCCAAGTAATAGCATTGATTTAAAAAGTTGTGTTCTGTGAGAGAGCTACTGTAAAACACACACTAATCAACAGATCCTTTTCTAAACAGCTGTGATTATTCTTATTTTAGAGGTAAAGAGACTAGTGTTCAGAAAACCAGGTATTCCTCCATAGCCGTATTAAAATTCATTTATTTGCTATAACCTGCTTCTCCTTCCACTGAAAGACCTGTTAACTTTTGCAATGGAAAATAACATTTTTTTGGGGGTGTGAGTGTGTGTGTCTGAGGATGAAGATAGATTTAGTTTTCAGTATTATTGCTATCAAAATTAAATTTATGTGCTAAAAGAAAATCTTTATTACAAGACAGGGCAATTATCAACTACAATCTGCTGCTGCCTAAATCTGTGCTTTGGAACAAAGATGCTGGTCTAACAGTTTCCACCTTTTTTTGATTTATTTTTATATAATAAAGGAGCTATGTTAGGTAGGTCTAGCATAGCATTCTGCCTCTGCTAGCAAATACAGCAATCACCTGCTATGCTTCTAGCAATGCTAACCCAAAATGCTAATTCTTCCTTAAAAAAAAAATAAAAGAAAATAATCGTAGCTCAGTTTCCTAAATGATAAATGTTAACTTTAAACTTAATGTTGTTTGGTGATTTTGTTCATTGAAGCTGAATGGTGAAACTTTGTTGATCACTGTATTTGCTAAGTATGTTAAGTGATGAAGCTTTAATGTTTTACTGCTCTGTCTCATTTTGAAAAATATTTGCATGGTTCCAAAGGGAATTTTGTTACTAAAGCAATGTTGGCATCTATTCTTAGAAGAGTTTCTGTATTAAGATTAGGGGCTTTGAAATAACTAAGCTAAAATGCCACTATTATGCATCTCTGAATCCGTTTCTAGTAGAGCATAGACTTTGTCATCAAAAAGCTGTTTTACATTGAGCTAATTTCCCTTCTGCTAATCAGAACTAAAAAAACACAAACCCACTTCAACATATTCTGAGGTTCTATTTATAAGGAATATACATGCTGGTATATATTTGTAAATCAGATTCCTATTGCATCTCTCAGTGATTTTTTTTTTTCCAGGATTTGGATGCAACATCAGTGTTAGGATATGTATGCTTTACTATCAATCAATCAAGAAAAAGATTAATTGTCTTCAGATAGGATTTCTTCCTTAGATAGACCTTTCAGAAAACTGAGCAACCTTAAGTAAAAGACGTACACAAGTGAGTCAAAAAACATCTTGGCAGGGTTAATCAGCCTGTAGTATTGCTGGTGCCCAAGCCAGCTTGTTTCAAAACAGTCCCTTTGTGGCTGAAATCCAGCAGCGATGCCAGGACAGCTAGGGTTACGAATCCAGCAGCTGGCTGCCTTGCTGTTGGAAATTAAACATGTGCTAATGAATGTGTTAATGTGTAACAGGAAGGGGGTTACAATTAGGTCTTCTCTTTCCCTGAGTAAAGATTGTATGGTTTCTGTCAGGACATTCTGCAGACAGCTTGCCTTTGCAATCTAGGTATGTGGGATCTGGAAAAGAGTGCAAGAGTATGGGAGAAAGAGAATCCTCTCTGAGTGTTTTGATGTCTTCTCTAAACAGGTTTTGGTTTATAATTTTTAAATCATCGTTGCATCTCCTCTGGGAATTTTGTGCAGAGGACTGCATACTAGATGAACTGACAAAATGTTCATCTTTACATCCAAACCTGGGCAGATATGTCTGGTTCACCTCTGCACATGCACCTGTCAGAATAAGCTGTGAAAAAATATTTCAAAAGGCCTTTGAGAAAATAATTCACTGCAACTGCTGTAGTCATATTTTCTATGAAACTGCTATAGTCAGAATTCCTGTGAAATCTGAAATGCTCTTGAAGATTATGTCTCCTAATAACAATGATTTTGGTATCTGTTAGTTGTTAGCATTTCAGTTAGTTGTACTGTGTACACTAGCCCTTAGCATTAACATTAAAAAAATAAATCACATCTACTCTCACAATGTCCAGTGACAGGTATTCTACTTCAGGGTTGAGTAAATGCTTTGTATCAGTGTCCTAATGGTCTTTTCAGCAGTTATTGTAAGACGTGTATCATTGGAATATGTTTGGACAGCTCTTGGGTATGTTGGTCATTTATCATTTGTAACATAGTGGAAGGATTCACAGGCACCTGGAGTCCAAGGCAAGCAAATGTTCTCAGTTCATACAGAGCATGGTCTTGGTTATGAGGGTCAGGTTCAGGTCCTTTCTGTTTGACAAGTTTTGTTGCAGACCTGTGGCAGCAACTAAAATTCATATGGCTTAAAGTGTTTGTTTCTCTTAACTTCCTGCAGCTGATTGTACATTGCCTTAATTTTATCAGGTTTTGTCATTGCATATTGATATACAGACTCTAAATGCAAAATTGACTAGGCTACACTACTAAAAGCTTATTATGAGAGAAAAAGGTCAGCAAGATTTTAGTGAGGGTTATTTAGTTGCAGCAGGGTGGTGTTGAAGGGAGGACCTGCCTCTGGAAAAGAGCATTCGCAGCTTCTTATAATACAAGAAATAAAAGGTGTTAGTTCATCTGCTAGCCATATTAAAACAAAAAGCAGGCAGTGTTTGTTTGCAGACTGGCTGATCAAACTGCACAAGTCATAGGCACAGAAAATCATGGGGGTGAGTACTGCAGGACCAAAAATGCAGCCTTTGTAAGTCTTTGGATACAGGTATGGATGGATAATAACAGTGCAACTCTGTTTTAGGAAATCCATAAGCTGTTGATTGTCCCTTAGCCAAGGATGAAGGATATTCCAGGATGCTCTGGAAGATAAACTGACAGTCTGGTGGTTTTGTGGTCTCACCTCCTGTGGTATGATGCCTCACCTTCTAATGTTTATGGATCTTTAAAGCCTGTCAAAGACCCATGCGGCTGGGCTGTTCCCAGGGCTGCTTTGCAGCCTGGTAAAGGGACTCTGGGCTCTCTGGCAGCAGCACAAGACTTGTGGATTACTGAAGGTTTTTTATTTCTTTTTTATTTCTTTCCCCTGCTGAGAGACATATCATGCAGAAAAGCACAAAATATGTGTGTTCTTGCAGCATTATTATTGTTCAGTGTTTCTACCACTGTGTGAGCAGCAGTAATCTCTCAGTGTTTTTTTAGGCAGACTGGGTGCAAACTATTGTTCATATTTAATTGCAGTCTAAGTGGGAAACTTTTTTTGCCATTAAAATTAATGGGAGTTTTGTATGCTTATTGTTTATTTTATTAACAGGAGGCAAACAGATGTGTAAAATGAAGAGACTGCATGGAGATGAGTGTTTGAACACTGAGTTACAAATGCAACGTAATTAATTGCATAACCAAATAATTATGTGACAGTAAGAAGAGGAGAAAGGGGAAAGAGGGAAGGAAGCAAGCAACTTTTTTGATAGAATTGTCTTTCAGTATTTGCTAATCATATGCTTTCAAGCATTTAATTTAGAAATAGTTTACAATTTAAAAACCATGGCATTATGTGTAGGTGTTGCAAAGTTAACACTGTAGAGCTAGAAATGTTTTCAGACATTAGTTGTGAATCTAGTTTTGTGTTGTGGGATTTTATCCTTTAGCCTTGGGCTCTTGCTAGATTACAGAAATTAATGTATTTTTTTTCTGGCAAAACCTTTCAGTTAAACATCCCTTAACAGTTAATGACTCCTCTGAGACTTAGTTATCTATATCTACAGTCTACCTACATACTGCATATATTTTCTAAATCACTTAACTGTTTTTTTCCATTCAGCTCCTAGATAGACTAGTGATTTTATTGGCTTATTTTGAAGACTGTTAGTTGACTGCCAGGTGTGCCTGTTTTGCTAGCATCTCTGGAAAGTTTGTGTATAAATTAGCTTGTATTATCTTTTTATGGATATTAGACCCTTTTAGTCAGTTGACTTAAGTATGTTTTTTGAGGTTCACTTTTGGGTGTCTCACATGTTATCACTTCTGCCATTTTCTTCTTGCTGTTACAGCAGATTTAAATGCTTGCATTTTAAATGCTTGTATTTTAAAGACAGGTATTTTACCCTCTTTTTAACAATTTGAAGATGCATCTTTCATATCTTTCTAACCTTTCCATACTCACCTAGCTGCGTATATTTTGTTGGTTTCCTTACTCCCTAGGTGGTATCTCAGCTTGAAACCCAAATAGCTAAATTGACTGAAGCTCTGGAAAATCAAACCAGATTGTACCAAGAAGCTATGGAGCAGAGCCGGAAAGCTGAGAAACGTTCTGAGACTTTCCAGGATCAACTGAAACACTTGGAAGAGGAATTACTCTCCGTAGATCTGATGCAGGATGTCTTGAAGCTGGAGAAACAAAAAGTAGTTGCATGCATTATTTTCTTTGGCACAAAAGTCACTAAAGACAGAGACACAGCTGATTGCATTGCATTGATCTGCAGGAATATTACTCGAAGTACTGCAAGTAATATGAATTAGCAAAGTCAGGCATCATGTAGGGTGTATAATATCTTTTTTTTAACCAACAGTTTTAGTTAGAAAAGTAGCTAAGCTTCTGAGTTCAAAGTCCATTTAAATGTGAAAAAATCCCAACTGGATTAAAAGAAGTTTCTGTAAAGATATCAGAGGTCCTCCAAAGTTCCTCTGATCTCAAAGCTTTTTCTGATGTCTCAGTTTTTGTCTAATATATCATCTGGCCTGCACTCTTTCAAGGTCTTTCAATCCTTGATTCTTTTATATCCTTAGACTATCAAGACTACCAGGATTTTTTTACTAATTGTAAGAATCAACACACTGTTAGTCTGTAACACATCCACATACCAAGACTGTGAAAATGACATAGTACCTGGAAAGCTAAACCAGCAATCCCATATAGCGAAGAAAGACAAAGTTGTAGCATGTTACCAGGCCAAGATCAATGCTTAGAAAGTTGAATTTGCAAAGAACCAACAATTTGGTGCTGGCTGTTTTGCATTTGTCTATAATACAATTACTTTTATGAATGAAACGCCCACCACATCGGAAGCAAATCAGAAAATGGAGCAGATCCTTCCCTTCTGCCCCCTCTGTAAAGAAAGTGTGGTCCTGGCTTCTTAATTTCTCACTAGATTTTGCTGCAATAGAGAAATTTTTGTCATGATTTTTTTTTTCTGTTAATGAACAACCTCAGTGCTTTCTTCTTCTGCTGCTGCTTTTAACTTTTTGAACCAGAAGCATAATGAAACAGAAAGAGATTCTCGCTATTCTTTTTTTTTGTCTTGGGCTCTAGCAACAATTATGGAAATGGTTTGTAGTGTTGTTTTTTTTGATTATGGGATGCAACAAAAGTAGGCAAACATAATTCTTAGTGAGAAAGACAGCTTTGGGTTTTGCAAAAGAGGCTAATTGAGACCAGGGAATGAATATAATTTTTAAAGAGCTAGTAGGGCAGGACAAAATAAGGAAAAAACCAGATTAAATAGTATTTTATATCTGTATGTATTCACATCAGTAAACCAAATGGAGATGCAATTAAAATAATCTCTAAAGCAATTTGTAAACCCTTAACTGTTATCTTTAAAACTTGATATTCCAAAGAAGGGCAAAAGACTGACCATGTTGACATTCCTGTGTCTCGTCAGACTACATTGTATCTCACCCATGGCATCCCTGGTGCCAGTTTTATCTGTTTTAATGCTCACAGCAGTGAGCAGTCACAGCACTTGCAACTGGTTAGGATGTGCCTGTCCTTAAAAACTTCCCCCCTGCCAATGGCCATGTACAGCATCAGAGCCACAGACAGGAACTGGAGCCAAAAGCAGACACACATACCTAGTGCTCTTACTGCAGAGGAGCAAAAAAAAAGAATCTGGTCTTGCTAACAACATAAATACAGTAGGTCCGGGGATTTATGAACAAAATAATTGTTGACTAAAAAAGGAAAAATGGAGAATTTGCAGTTGTGTTGGGAGTGTGTACTATAAACATACCATTTCAGCATCCTATTTCTTTTGGATAGTAGACTTAGCTATAGTTGGCTGCTGCTGTAAGGGGAACTGCTTTTAAATTGTACTTCAGGACTTTTAATGAAGTTATTCTTTTACCCACTTTTCCACATCTTATATTAGTACCTGAAATTTCTGGAACAACTTAATGAGAAGATGAAGCTGGATAGCCTAGCAGCAGAAGTTGGATTTGATATGAATGTGGACACAATTCTAGCCCGGGTAGAACAGTTAGTGAAACTGGAAGGTGATGCAGTGATTGAAAACAAGACTATGGCATATAGCCTAAGAAGGAAGGTAAGCAAAAAAGGCATGTTATTACTGTTTGTTTCAAAGATAAGCATTGTTACGGTTATATTTTTATGGTGGCTTGCTAGAGGAAGTAGGTTGGAGTTTCATGTATGTACAAGGAATTTCAGAGATGTCCATTCCATTAAAAAAAAACCAAACATTTGCAAACTGTGCAGAGAGTATATTAAACCAACTAAAACCACAAATCAGTTAAATACATAATACTGTTTTTCACAACTTATATAAATGTGTGAATTTACGCATATTCATGTGTATATATATATACTTTTTAATACACATTTATAATATATTTCTTTAAACAACTACCATTGACATTTAAATCTAAAAGGATTATCTGGGAAGGGGGGCATCTTACACAAACTTCTCTAGAATCTGGTAGGTTGTACTTCACCAGGAATTTCAACATTTTCAACAAGACTGTGCCCCTTTAGGGCACAGATACCCCTCTGTCACGAAAAAGTGAAAACTTCAGGTTTTAGATTTATCAGATTGTTTTAGATCTTAGAATTAGGTCTGTTCAAGGTTTAAAACAACACTGTGTTTTCTCTGGATGCAACTGGCTCTTTAGGAGGGGTATAGTATGTATGTTAATGCTCCTCAGAAGTTCTAGAGTAAAGCCCGACAGCTCAGCTCAGGCTTTTTTGAAAATGGGTAGCTCCCTGAGCACCATAGTTACAAAATTAAGCTGCTGGACCTTGTGTTGTATCCACCAGTGGATGAGAGCAGTGGATTAGAGATTTTCTATTTCTGTATGTTGATTCTCCTTCTTGCACACTAGCATTAATTAAGTGATTAAAGATGGAAATATCTTAAACTGCCACCACTGAAACCACTATTTTCTTAATCAATCTCTCTTACCTCTTGCTTTTGACTAGCATCCTATACTTCAGGCCATCTCAGATGTTATAAATGATGCACAATGATCAAATAGGGTGCAGTCCATAGATGAATTCATTCTAAAAGGTAGTGCACAAATTCAGGGATGGAGAAGCACAATAAATTGGTAATATAAAAGGTATCAAGTTTTGTATATGTGTTTATACTGCTTTACAGAGTTTTCAAGAGAGGAATAGGAGTTCAAGTTAAATATACAAGACAGGGATTAAATTTACAAAGTGATCTGTGTAGTACCATTGTCTTTCACATCTATCTTTTCAAATATCCTTGTGTTTGGAAAATTAGTTGAAGACTCAGAAAGAAAAACTTGAAAGCAAAGAGCTGCACATGAACATTCTGCGGCAGAAAATAACCCAGTTGGAAGAGGAGAAGCAAGTAAGGACCGCCTTAGCTGTAGAGAGGGATGAGGCCAATCTCACTGTCAGAAAGTTACATAAGATGATAGAGAAGTTACAGAAGCAGCTTGATCTGGCAAGGGAAACGAACACTGATCTCAAAGCCAAGCTCTCTGAAACCAATGAACTTAAGGTGAGTTAAAAGATTACTTTTGTGATTCAATTCATTTTTCTATTCCAGTTAGATACAGCTGGAGTTCATTTAAAGTAAATGTGTTCATGGAACACAGCTCAAAACCATGTAGGTGGAGAAAGCAAATACAATATTAAATATTAATATTTTTAATATTTTTTCTTATTTTGCAATCTGTCTTGTTATACTAAGTAGAATCTATAAAGCACAATGTCAATTTTTGGGCTTGCATAAGAAAAATACATTACATGCATCCCTTTCTGTCCTGTTGATATGACTATAATCCTACATTTTCCCATACATTGCTCACAGAAGATCTACTCTGATAAGTATGGAGGGAAGGGGGAAGAGGTTTTCCTGCATAAAACAAGGTGCTAAATTTTCATTGTTCTTGTGTTCAAGAACACAAGTAGTGTTCAGTCATTGGTAGCTTGCCACTGCTGGAAGAAAAGAATATTGATTTTATGTGAGTTTGTGTCTTGTGGCTGATGGAATGAAATGGATAATTAGGTGCATGTTCCAACAATTTTTACCAGCAAAACATTTGGCAACTCTTTCATACTAGCAGAGTGTGAACTCTCACTGTGGGTTATTGTGTGTCTAGTTACTGCTTTTCACAAAACCTTCAGAGAATTAACTGTTTTTGAATTGAAAATCTGTTAATTGAGTTAAAATTGACCAGTCTCTTCTAACAGCTTTTCAGTACACACATACATGTGATTTCAACAAGAACCCATAAGAAACTGCATTAAAATGCTTATTCATAACTATTCCTGAAGTTTTTATTATATGCTTGTGGTAGGTGGAAAAGTTTGACAAATTTGACAGTACTTTATGTTACTGCAGATTAAAACTTTGGAGCAGAACAGAACAATAGAAGAACTCAATAAATCTCAAGGCAAATTGGAAAGAATGAAAGAAAAGGCTGAGAAACAACTTACCTCTATCAAATCAGAACTTCTTTTAAAGGAGCGTAAAGCTACTGAAGATAAAGAAAAAAACAAAAATATGTTAGAAGCGGTTACCAGTGAGATAAAGGTGCTTAAAACAGCCCTTGCAGAATTAGCAAAAAGGGAGAGACAGGTAGGTGTATAAGTATTTGACAAGTGCTAGCTGTCACAGAATATAAGAATGTGGTGGTATAGGCGGAGCAGCTATCCAGCTGTGCTGAAAACTTTTGTGAAGGAAATTTTAGCTCATGCTTATGAGCCAGAGTGACAGCCTGCTTTAGGACTAATGGTCAGCTCTGGTGGCTGTAGCGAATAGCAGCCAAGTGTGCATATTCTTGAGCAGACATATAAAACCAATAAAACCCCCTGTGTTGAAAGCATTATTAAATCATACTGCAGAGTGAAAAACAGAGAAGTGAAGCTATACATGAAGAGTCAAAAAAATAGAGATTGCTAGAAGGGATATATGGTGGGGAAATAGTTGTATATATTGAAATTTTGCAAGAGTAACTGTAAGTTTACAGATATTCATACTGGATGTCCTCTGTCTGTGGGGTGAACAGAAAACTTTCCTGACTTCATATATCCTTGTTGCATATTTCTGGATATAAATAAATATCAGCATAACCAGCATTCATTTTAATAAGCCTAGATAAAGAGTATATATAATGACTTATGACAAAAGGATGTTCACAGAGATTGGTAACATCATTATATGACCACCACAGTCAACTACTGATTAAAATCTGAATGTATTTTGTTTGTATGAAATTAACTCAAGTCCTTATTTTCAGTAGTACTTGGAATATGAATGTTAATGTTTTGGTTGAGTTTTAATGGTTTTGTTATAAGGACTTTTTCCATTCCTAGCCCCCACCCTCCCTTATTTTTTATTTCTTTCTATTGGAATGAGACCCCTTTTATTTTTCTGTAGGTGCAGCATGAAAACAAAACGTTAGTGTGTGTTTTTGGCTTCTGCTCCACCTCCTAATATCTTGGGTTAATGCTTTAAATTGCATTAATTTCCAATTTTACTTCAGATAGTTTTGCTCACTGGATGGAAGGTGCAAAGAAAATGGAGTGCTTACTGCCATAGCAAACCTCTGGTTTTGAATCTTTACTGATGTTTATCTTTTATTATTTTTCTCATTTGCTTCAAGTTGTGCCTATCTTGGAAAGTATTAACTGTTATTGAAGAAAGTCTTATATAGAGTGTTAGGTGGTATTTGTATTAGCTTCTAGTATTTCAGGAGAACTGTTGTGTTCTTAATACCTATGTTGCATTGTTTTTAAAGCTGAAATACATTTTTCATCTATTTTTTTCCCTACATCTTATATGTTTTAGTGCAGGATTTTAAAAAGTTGTTGTCATGAGGCTCTGGCATGGGCTGCCCAAGGAAGTTGTGAATTCTTCCTCTCTGGCAGTGTTCTAAGCCAGGTCAGACAGAGCCTTGCGTGACATGGTTTAGTGTGAGGTGTCCCTAGGGGGTTGGAACTAGATGATCTTAAGGTCCTTTCCAACCCTAACTATTCCATGGTTCTATGACTCTATGTGCTTGCAGTACTATATCCGCACTTAGCAGTCTAATCATGTATGGAGCACCTTGCTCCATGTGCGACATGCAAAGGCGTCTTGCAGTGTGTATTGTCTGTTGCTTTTTTTTGGAGTTTTAAAAGCCAGTTTGATGTCTGTTTTTGCATCCAAGAGTGATGGCTCTCTGTCAGGTTATGGCGAAGAATTTCTTTTTGTTGTCAATCCTTTATCCACATTTTCACTGAAATACAGCGTTGCCTGTACTGGACTTTATATGCCACAATATAACAGTTAGAAAAGTTTTTTGTCTAAGTGTTATTCCATTAAAATGGGGAAAAAAAATCCAGAATTTAAAATTGCAATAAATGAGTGATTTTAAGGATTTCTTTAAGGGCTCTTTGTGTTTTCCAGTTTAGGTTATTTGCTGATGAAAGTTACTCAATTCTTAACATATATATTATTCATTCAGCATATCTATGACCTGCTTTTCCTATCAGAAATAAAGCATGAGATGATTGTGTGTAGGCTTTAATTTGTATCCCCTCTGGCAAAATCCTGTCAGATCAATAAACTGTGTCAGTGCATCAAGTTTAATTTGACTGCATTTGATACATTGTTGTAGTGTTTGGTTTGCTCACAGTTGCTCTAATTAAGTTGAACAGATACTAGAGAAAGAAATTCGGTGCAAAGCACAGGCCCTAATGTGCTCCCAGGGGATCAGTTAGATTTGCTGTATAAACGTCTTGTATAAATTCATCCCAAGACTGGTTCTTTGCAGAGGGCTGCCTTGATATTTTAACAATAAGTTTCTATGGAAAAAAAAATCCAGCTTTGCTGCCTGCTCATTCTGTCTGTGATCCAGATGTTTAAAAAAATCTTTAGCTTCTGCCAAATTGTACTTACTAGCACACTGCCAGAGTCCCATATCAGTGATCTCCTGACTGTGTTTTGAAGACAATATATGGGAGCTCGGGGGTTTCTGGTGTTACATTGTTCCAACAGTTCATCCAAGACATAGCACTGCTTTGGTTAAGCCAGATAGCTGGGTCTGAATTCTCAAATCCTTCTGTCCTGTCTGGGTTTCCATATGTTTTTCTGAACTCATGATAGCTCCTCAGGGTTTGTATTGTGATTGAAAAAGTCTTTGTTAAAGTCTTGAAATAGACCTTGTTTTCCGGGGGTTGCCTCACAGATGTTGCAACTGCTTTAGAGTTCTGCATGGTATTCTTGAGGTTGGACACATATGTTGGGAGTACTTTTATCTCCCTTTCAGGAATGTATGTCTCTCCTCCTTACCATTAACTGTCAGCATGATTGGTGGAGTGAGGGTGCTGCCACACCAGAGCTCTAGCCTGGCTTCTTGATGGTTTTGATGTTTCTGTGACATTTCAAGTCTCTCTCATGCTTGGGAATAGGGATCTTGACACTCAAATAGACAGCAAGACAAGCATATTTCCTCAAATAGGAACATTTTCCTCTTTCAGTTGTGTATTGATGACATGGGGTATTAAGGCATTGTCCATTGAAGAGGCATTGAAGTTTGATTTATTATGATCCATACTGTGAATTGAAAAGAGTAAATCAGCATTCATGTTCATCTGACCTTAAGCTTTTAATTTAGTTGCTGAATGAGTCTGATGACAATTACTTGTGTGTAACTGTCCATTTGGAACTGGAGAAAAAGCTGGTTTCTTGAATTATTTTGCCAAATACCCTTCATAAGACATATTTTCAGCAGTTATGCGCAGAAGAAAAATGAGCGTTTCCCAGGCTGCATCTTGAATTTTGGCTGCATCCTGATTCCAAGTCAGGGTCAGACCAAAGGATGTGCCAAACCTCCACCTTTCTTCTAACTTCCTCCTTTCTGCTGTGGTTTTCACAAAAAAAAACAGAGTGGAGGAGAATGGTGGCAGGCTGTGGTCAGGAGCTTGAGGTCAGCACCAGCACTTCAGCCTGTGCTGTGAGATGTGCCCACTGGAGTTTCCAGTTGTCTGTTAGCACCTCAGCTGTTTACGTGTTTTGTTACTTGATACATATCCCAAAAGGCTGTTTCCACCCTCTTCAGCTCTCTGTATTGAGCAACAGCAGAAATTCCTGTAATTCCTGATGATTCCTGCTATTTCTGCTAATACAAATGCTTGTGTATATGTATATATATGCACACATATATATATGTATATATATTTGTATGTATATATATACACATATATATGTATATATAAGTATATATAAGTATATATATGTATATGTTCTTCTAGGCATCCCCTTTGCTTGGTATTTAATGTATTAGTAATTCCTTTCTGTTTGATCTTGCAGCTGACAGATTTCCGAGAGGTGGTCTCGCGGATGCTGGGCCTCAACATTGCCAGCCTGGCTCTTCCTGACTATGAAATCATTACACGTCTCGAAGGGTTGATTCACTCTCATCAGCACCACTACTTCCCCTGTGTCTGCCTCAAAGAAATGACAAGGGCACCAGAAGAACACTCCCAAAGAAACATACAGCTTCTTCACTGACACACACATTTTGTTAGGAGACAGAACAAAGTAAAATTTTCTGTGCCTCCCTACCTGCTAGATATGTGTAGAAAGCAGATATTTATTTCTGTTCCCTATGCTACAGACACTAATTTGGGCTGATTTTTAGTGTTTCGATAGGGAGACTTAGTTGAATGGATCAAGTAAACCCAGCAGCCTAGAGACAGCAACCAGAAAATCCTTGGGCAGCATAACACTGAAGTTATAAAAATGATAGGTAGTATGTGCACAAGTATAGCCCTCCAGTTTCATTGTAGAGGTGTTGAAGGCATGGGACACTAGAGGTCAGTTTTGGGAAGTGCTTGCTAATAAATGGCAGCTTCAGTGACATTCCTTGCGCTTTATCTTTGAGTGACAGGAATGAAATGAAGTGGGGGTTGTCCTGCTGCTGTTCTTCTTGCAAAATGGGATGTCTCTGCATTTTTACTCATAAGGGACTTCAGCTTCAAGACAGCTGGAAGCTAGACAGAGGACTATCACCATTTTGGAGCAAGAGTATTTTGTTTTTAACTTTTTCTTCTGCTGTTTCCTTAGTCTGCTCTCATGCCAAAACAAAAAATTATGTGTTTTCAGCAAAGGGTCTTTCACAGAGCCCAGTCATGCACCTAGTGGAGATACATTTGGTAAAATAGCATGTTGTCCCTGGCCATGATGCCTTGAAAAGTTTTCTTCTGGCTGCTGTGTTCCTTGGGCATTAATCCATACTCCAAATAAGTGGCAGTTCTCCTGAGCTAATGAAAAGTTATTTTAGAATGCTTACCTGCTACAGAAAATAGCAGAATTACTAAAGTCTTTATTTTCAGAAAAGCAATGATGAGGTGTCCAGAACTAATCTTAACCATAAAAGCTTCTTGTCTATCGTGCTTTCTGAGTGTTGTTAAAATAAATGATTTTTTTAAAAAGAAACTTGAACAATAAATCTGTTTTAACAGCACACACAAACATGGTTCTGTGGTTTTAGTTGTCTCTTCCAATTATATATTTTGTATGGATGTGTAAAAAAGATGTGCTTATTTATGTCTGACCATTTGTGGACTTTCTACAGTATCTCAGCAAATGATAGCAAGCTCACAAAAACTGAGCACACTATTTTAAGAGAAATGAGACTTTTTCAAGTAAGTGTGGTAATTTTGGTGTCTGGGTAGGGATTCAAAGCGTTATAGGTTGCTTTTATTTCACTTGCTTCTGAAGAATCATTTCCCAGTGACTTGGTAGTAAAAAATCAAAAAACACCTAAGCTTTTGCGAAATAAGTCATTTGAGGAGATACAGCAAATCATATATCCTTATGCTCCTGTGGACACTTGGATTAAAATAAATTTCCTTACTTGTTTGATAGTGAAATGTTGTTCTTTTGGGATAAAATTTAGTAAATGGAATTAAGGGAAAAAGCTAAAATTAAATTATATAGACTTAAACTTAGGAAAGCACCACAATTTCAAAGTCAAGATTGAAATGTAAATATTTTTAGGCATGATACGTTGGTTGGGAATTTAGAGGGTAGAAAAGAATGTAATAATTTTCTAATCCTTTATTAGAGTACAAGTAGTTTCAGTTTGTGTTTTGCTGGCTCTATGGGCACTTTTTTCCTGCTTGAGTTATTACTAAATAAGAAAAGCTATTTTCTTGGTCTAAATTAATAAATATTATAAAAAGCATATTTTACCTTATTTTGCAAGTTAAATATATTGCATTACAAAATTAGGTCCACTGAACTCAGACAGTACATTCATAACTTTAAGAAATAATCTCTGAGAGTGCCAGTCATAAAGTAAGTTTGCATATTTGGCTGTATTTTATGATTGTGAGGTGATTTCTTGACATCTGCCAGAACACTTAAAATCTCCTTCCTGTATCCTGCTGCCCATGATCAGCCATTGCACCAACAGTGAAGTTCCAGTTCCACAGCAGAAGCCACCAGCAAAGTTCTCCAAATTATTTCAGAGGAAGCAGATTTTCACGTGAAGTTGGTAGCTAGCAAAGCTTAATTACTGTTTTGCATGTTAAACCAACAGAGACAACAGGGATTAGAATAAGGGGTTTCTAACGATGTTCTTCAAGGAATATGACTTCGTAGCTCACTATTAATATTCCCTGAATCTGCTTTACTTTTGGAATAGTACTGATATCTTTCTTTGTCCATTTAACCAAGGCAAATAAATAAACCAAAATGTAAAGAAGTAATTTGACATGAACAAACCTCAAGTGATTTTTGACCCACTGAGTTGCAATCTTTTTTTAAGGTTTGTTTCATGCAGCATTGAATATCGTTTTTTCCATAAAACCCAAACAAACCCAAAATAGAACAGGTTTATGAATGTTTTCAAAGTTTGTTTCAAATGCTTTCTTCTTTCTTAAACGAAGTTGCATTCAACACAAGACAGATATGATAGAGACCTAAAAGTGTGTATTAAGGCTGTGTTGGCAGACATCCCATCTTCATCAGTTTGTTTTTACAAGGTTTATTTGTTTTAATAAAAGGTATGGAATGAAGATGTTGCTATCTGTTCATAATTACTCTTTTACTGTGGTAAAATATTTATATTAAAAAGGTAATATGTGTGAAATCGCAGAATAGTACAGATGCAGGGCTAGATTATTCTCCAAATAAAAGCTGAACCAACTTCAATGAAGAAAACTTCATCATTTCAGATATTTCATTTATTTCAGTGTTTAAAAAGGCAAAACTCAACAAATTAAAATGTTGTGATTGTAGATATTGAAATGAATTAATTTACATGCCTTAAACACTGCAATAATAAAATAACGATACAAACAAAAAAATAAGCATTATACCATTATATTAAAATATATGCAACTGGATTTTTGCTTGTACATTGTATTGCTGATAATACAGTCTGTGAAACACAGTAGAACCATGATTCCTCAAAGAAATTAAGTGCAAAAGCATCTAAATGTTTTTCTGAATTAGAATAGGAAGCATAAAGGCCCATCACATCGATTATTCTTGATTTTCTGTTGCTCTAGACTTTATTATTACTGTATTAAGCAGTTTTCTTTCTTTGCCACATGTTCGTTCTTTGGATGGTGTGTGAATCATCCACATTTTCCTAGGACTGTTCAGTTAATGGATTATTTTGTGCATTATGATGGTGCAGGGGAGGGAAAATACAGATGACCCAAGTCATAATAGATTTTCATATGAAATAGGTGTATTTTTTAAGACTACAGGTGCTGACCATTTCTCTTGACCATTAAAGAGAAAAAGGGGGAGGAATGGAATAAAATGAAGTGAAATTCTCTATGAGGTTGGAGAAAATGTATCTTTGATATTAGTGAAGCAGAAAACAAGTGGTTAACTGTATGGAAAATTAAAAAAAAAATGATAGCTTCCAGAATAGAAATTGGAAAGAATGTTCAAACATGATCCTTTTCAAATGGAAGAATTCAGTTTGGTTTGTTCTTCTGTCAAAACAAGTAGGAATCCTCTATGACAGTGTTTCCTTATTTTCCTGGTAGAAAAAGATTAGTTTATTAGACTGTACTCATAATTAGTCAGGAATAACTGAGTCAGAAATGAAAGAACTACGAAACAACAATTGGCTTGAACAAAATAGATTACTTTTCTGACAGTTTTAAAGTCAGCTAACGAGCCCTGAGCCAAAGAAGAACACATCTTTTCAGAAGGAAATAAGTAAACCAGTTATGTTTTCTTATTTGTTTGTCCCTGTCATACTTCCATTAAGTAGAAGAAACAAGAAAAAGAAGGTTGCAGTGTGAGCAAATATTCATTTCCAGGAGTTCCCAAACAGCGAAACCACCTGTCAGATGGCTTTTGGTAATGCTGGGGATGGGACTGGAGAGCAGGAAATCTGACTAAGTCCAGGGGGAGCTGAATAGGATCAGGCCCCTGGGTATGCATGTGTACACAGGTGTTTTTATAAAATGGTGACTTTGGATCCTTTTTTTTTTTTTGGAAATGGCACAATAGTGTGTTGGGTGGGGAAGATGTACGCTTAGTTATAAACTAAATATTCAATTTATTGGTAATATTATTTTAAAATGCAACTTAATCTGGAAAAGAACCTTATTCTACAAAATACTCCTACTATGACATTTTAGTACTGAGAAATGCGCTTTAGGGCTCTGATTAAGAGGACTGAATTAATTCCGAAAAGGATAAGCTTAATTTCCCCTTCCAAAATCAGGACATTGCCTGCTGGGGGCAATCGCTCCTGCCAGACAGTACAGCCAACCTCTGCCCACGGCATGAGAGCAGCCCTGCAGGTAGCAGAGCCATCACCAAGAGCTGCCTGGCACTGGGTGTCTTTGTGCCGCTGCAGGCTGCCTGTCTCCCCATCAGCTGCCATGTCCCTTCCTCAGCCATGACCCTGGCTGGCTGGGATGCTGTGCTGCTTGTCAGACTGTGCACTGGGAGCTCGGACTACAAAACAAATGTGCGGTGGTAGCTGCAGGATGCTGAGAGACCTTCCCCAGTATTGCTAGGAAGGCAGCAATACGCCAGCAGAGCTGACTCAGCCCTTTCCCCAGTGGAGAAATGGAGAAGTAAGAAGACAAGTGTTTCAAGGCATTTCTTCTGTATATCCTTCCTACTGTAGTAACAGTGCAAAACTATGCAGTATAAATTATGAAGTAGCAGCATCAATTGATATGAGCAGCCACTTTCACTGCCTTCTTGCCCTTAGGGGTTGGTCAGAGACAACTTACTCAACAAGCATCCCAAAGGACAAGCAGAAATACAGTACTGGCAGGCAACTCTGTCTTTTCTTCAAAGTCATTTGTTGGTTTTTATTAGCCTCCACATGCTTTGTTAAATTTGCTGTCATTAACAATATCTTTGTGACCTTGATCTTTCACAGATCATCTATCTGCCGTGAAATCTCTGTGGGCAGCCCAGTTCTTTATCCAGTGAGGTTTCAAGTCCCTTTGCAGGGAGCCCTGTTGTAGGTTGTGTAGGGCTGCTGGAGAAACCTGTTCATGCTCTTGCTCTCCTGTCACTTTCTGTCCCTCAGCACTCGCAGCCTCTTCCTGTGCTATGCACCTCACCTCTAGCCAGGGTGGCATCAGACCTTTACAGCATTGTGTGGCGTTCAGCAGACACCAAGATACAGTTCTCCTTCTTATGTAAGGCTGCAGAGTCTTTTAGACTGCAAATATTCATCTCAACAGTTTAAGGCAACAGGCCATGGAGAGCATAGGAATCAAAAAAAAGAATATATATTTGAGAAAGCAATCAGTAAACAGAGATGGATTTAGACTAATGACCTAAACAAAAATTAATGTCATGGGTTCAGAGTTGTGCAGAATAATTCTCTAGTGATAAATCTTAACCGCAAGGCTTTGTAAGCTTCTCCTGACTTGTGGATGAGCTTCAGGATAGAAACAAGATGAGGCAGTTTCCCTTGGAAATCTGCCCATGACTTGGAGGGGAAAAAAGGAAGCTGGAGCATGAGGAACGGCTGATGAAGTGCCTGGGGACTGCTGCCCAGCTGGTTTTTGAATCATGGTAGGTAAGCTTCCTTTCAGTCTCATGAAGCTCTACAAATGGCAGCAGTTGCTGTGCCATCGAGGGAGATCCAATATCTGCCCCATTAGGATAACATTTTTTATAAGAGCTTTTTATTTTATTCTTAAGCAGTGTGCTTTAAAATACTCCTAATACAGTTCTTTATAGTGGCTTGCTGGCCTCAAAGTCAAAGCAGAGGTTGTATTTCTCAAAAAATGTTCCCTCTGTGGTTTTCCCAAGAAACCATTGACTGGTTTGGAAGTTCAGTTTATATATGTGTCTGTCACTGGTGTCATTCATTGCCTGTAGTTCAGTGTGATGCTTTGCTTTTACTTACAGGAGAAGTGAAGTCTTCCATGCCAGCTGACAGAATTTATTCATTTGAAAATCCAAGCCAAAATGGTTCAGTCCTTCCTAAAAACAAGACTAATGGAAAAACCATAATTTGCCTATACCCATAAATAAAAATCTGGCAATTTGGAGTAATTCAGGTTGGAGTAAAAAAATTGCCTTCTGTATAATGAGTGTTCCTGGCTTCTCTGGGATGGAGCAAAGGTCTCCGCTCAGTGTTTTTTTCACTAGAAACAAGTGGGAATAGAAGGAGTGGCCCAGCTTAAAGCGACAGGGAGAAGACAGACTTAGGAAGGAGCTCGTTATGGCAGGTTTCACAGCGAAGGGAAGAGAAAGGAGGCTTCATGGCAGAGACAGAGGAAAGGTGAGCTGTGATGTTAAAAAAAGAGGGAGAGGTGTGAGTACCTGGGTAGGGAAGTGGGAAAGAGTGTGAGAAACTCAGCACTCACCTCTCCAAATGAAGGAGGAAGAGTGGGAGGAAGTAAGGTGACA